CACTGTGTTAAGGACAATGACATAAGACCAGAAGATGAGGAATGATGAGAGAGGAGCATCAATGCCCGGTTCACGAGGAAGAAACATAGTGAACACAGAGCCCTCATTTGTTTCCCAGATTGCATTGCCAATGGTCAAAATGGAGCACATAGATGCCAGGAAACCAAAGATCTGATGGAATGAAAACATCAGACTTCTTGATTATTCAAACAATATTACTCTTGTCACTCAGGTGAAAAACAAATCACTGTCTTTAAGTTCTATATCTATAAGCTGAGACTTTGTGTGACTTTCTTTGTATTTTTGCTTGTGTAAACTCACACATAACACCAGGATATTCGTCAGGTGATCAATGCTTGTCCGTTTGAATATTGACTTCCCGCTGTTCTGCATCAGTTTAGTGTCAGGACCTGGAAAGGATTATTAGTGTCAGATTTTCTTCTGCACACCTTCGCTGCATCTTCTTCCTGCTCTAGTCTCTTATGTACAACTTCAAACATCAGTATCAGAGAAAACAATAAAAACTAGACCAAATTGTACACAGATTCAATGTGATGTTGAGACACTGACAGTGATGCAGATACAGTTTTCAGTATGTTTCCAGACTGGTTAGCCTTAGAAGGAGAATGGCCTAAATGAAACACCACAAATATGTCATTACTGTGATATTGTTGTTTTAAGAACTTCACACTCTAGAATCTGTGGCAGATTATCTTCTGTATACCTTTGCAGATGTAACCACATCCCCTTCCTGCTCTAGTCTCTTATGTACAACTTCATACATCAGTATCAGAGTAAACAATAAAGGCTAGACCAAAAAAACATCACTCAAACTGCAAATTGTACACAGTTGCAGTGCACAGTGTACCTCCAAAGATGACCAGACCGAAGCACCACTCAGTGTTCCTGAGAGTACAGCCTCTGAGCAGCACTTTGTCGTTGTCCAAGGCATATCTTTCTCCGTTCAAAGTCAGAGTCCCTTTGAACTTGTCTAGACGGTTATTGGGAGGTTCACATCGCACTTCACCTGAGAAACAGAAATCAGTGTCAGCAAATAATTCTAAACAGTTCACAGGATAGTTAGAGGACAGCTCGAAGCAGTCTGTGTAGTCTCCTCCGACCTCTGGTATCAACAAGGGATTTTCACCTACAGAACGGCTGCTCACTGGATATCTTCTCTTTGGTGGACCATTCTCTGGAAACCTTACAGATGTGGGTTAATCCCAGCAGGTCATCATTTTCTGAAATACTCAGACTAGCCAATCTGGCAGCAACAACAATGGAACATTCCAAATTCTTTAAATCAACTTTCTGGCACATTTTATACTCAGTTTGAATTCAAACAGGTCACTTTAATAATGTCCACATGCCAAAATGAAGTGGATTGCTGTCATCTGATTGACTGGTTAGATGTCTGTATTAATTAGCAGGTGAACAGATGGACCTAACAAAGCAAACAAATAAACAATTAAATAAAACCCAAGATCCCATTGTTACATTAGTAGAAAAAGTCGTGCATGAGGAAATACAATCACTCAGTACAAACTTAAACAGTTCAAAGGTGAAATACTGCTCTATTGATTGATTGATTGATTGTTAATTTATTTCAAACATGTAAACAATATACAGGTACATTTAGTAAAGAAAATAAGAGAGAAAAAAATACTATACAAAAGTCAATACATTTCAATATTGCTACCGTTCTGATTCATTTACGTGTTGAAAGGGAGTGGGAAGAAGAACACACTTATTTAATCCCACCCCTTTGCCATAAATTATCAGTTAATATTTAGTCAGCTTCCTTACTGATATAATCTATAATAAAAACTAGTGAACAGATTGCTGATATAATATATACTATAACATGACGTGATTTTTTTTAAATAGAGACATTCACTTAATTTCAATATTTTCCCTTTCTTTATAGTTCGAGAAGATCATATTTTTATAACTTTTTGAACTGTTTTATGTTTGGACATTGCTTTAATTCCATATTCACACTGTTCCACAGTTTCACTCAATGAACAGAAACACAAAAGCTTTATCTTGTAGTACGTACCTTCCCTGTTTTGAAGTTACAAAAACCCCTTAAATTATAACTTCCTTCTTTCAAAAAAAAAACATACTCTGAATATTACCCGGCAGTTCTTTTTTTTTTTTTGCTTTGAATAGAATTTGTGCTGTTTTGAATTTCACTAGATCGGCAATTTTCAATATTTCAGACTGCAAAAATAGTGAGTTTGTATGTTCCCTATAACCTGCATTGTGGATGATTTGAATTGCTTTTTGTTTTTGTTTTTGAAGAGTAAAAAGTGAATGTAATGTGGTTTTATAGTTGTTGCCCCAGACCTCTGCACAATAGCTTAAGTATGGTGAAACCAGTGAACAGTATAGAATATGAAGTGATGTTCTGTCTAACACCTGCTTTGCCTTGTTTAGTACGGCAATGCTTTGTGATACTTTGGAATGAATATATCTTACGTGAGCTCTCCAGTTAAGTTTTTCATCTATTATTACCCCCAGAAATTTATTTTCACTGACTCTTTCAATATCAGCACCATTTATTTGAATCTTAGCATTTGTATCTAAACTACTATTTCCAAATAACATCAGTTTAGATTTATTCAAATTGAACGATAATTTGTTTTTGTCAAGCCAGAACTTCACTTTACTTATTTCATTAGTCATATCCTCCAATAAATTCTGCAGATCATCACCAGAGCAAAAAATGTTTGTATCATCAGCAAAGAGAACCATTTTTAATACTTTGGACACTTAACAGATGTCGTTAATGTACAAGTTGAAGAATTTTGGACCCAAAACTGACCCTTGGGGTACACTACAAGCAATGTCCATACATAAGGAGCAACCACCATTTAATTTCACAAACTGCTTCCTGTCACCTAAATAACTCTGGACCCAATCTAAAACTACCCCTCAGACACAATGACATTCCAGTTTTCTTATTAATATATCATCATCTATTGTGTCAAATGCCTTTGTCAAGTCTATGAATAACCCAGCCACATATGGCTTTTTGTCTATGGAATTTGTGATGTATTCTATTGAATCTAATAATGCCAATGATGTTGATCTGCTTGATCTGAATCCATACTGACTCTCAGTGAATCGTTTATGTTTATCTATACATTTTCCCAGTCGGTTGTTAAACAGTTTTTCAAGAATGAGAATTGAGGTAGTAAAGAGACAGGCCTGTAGTTTGTGAAATGGTGTTTGTTTCCAGATTTGTATAGAGGTATAACTTTTGCTATTTTCATTCTGTCTGGAAATTGACCAGTTTGAAATGATAAATTACAGATGTATGTAAACGGTTTTATAATAGCCTCAATTACTCCTTTAACCACTATCATATCGATATCATTACAATCCAAAGATTTCTGATTTTACATTTGTTGACAATCTCAAAAACCTAATTTCATCAACGGCTGTGAGAAACATAGAATATGGATTTCTGTCTATCAGTGTATCCGGTTTTTCTTGTGCTTTCCCCGGATCTATCCTAACAGAATTATTTTTTTGCATTTATGCATTTATTCATTATTTATTTTGGTACTTGCATTAATTCTTAACTCAGCCAAGGCCTATCAACCTAAAAAAAATCTTTGTTAGTTTTGGTCCCCTCTGACATTTCCCAATGACAGAACCAGGTTTCACTTTTGAAAATCAGACTGTGTGTTGTTTCATTGAGATTCTCACCATTAAAGGCAGTGAGTGCCTCAATGTTGTCTCCCAGCTCTCCAGTTACAGTCAGAGCCTGTTTCACCTTCAGATTGGTTTCTCTGGGGGAGACCAAGGAAAATCCAAGACAGTGTCAGACATTAGTTGTCAACCTAGCATACAAACAACACAGTACAGCACACTTACCCATCTAGTTCAGCTGTTTCCACATAAACTAAATTAAGGGGCTCACTGCTAGACAGCAACAGAAGGTCTGCCTAAGAAATAAAAGCACTGAGTTTAGTTTGGAACTTACTTTTGAAATGAATTTCTTTCACTTGTTTCAAATCTTTACTATAGCCTCCCCAAACTTACTGTGACAAACTCATTATTCTCCAGTTTGACTATGTTCCCGACCTGAACATTCATCCATTTTTCATTTTTGAGTCTGTCAGGGAAGGGAACAAAGGCATACAACACAGAAATGAATCCAAAATTCTTCATACAAAAGGTATTCTTTTCTTTTTCATTTGGGTTTCCAAAGACTTACTGGCCATCCATGAGGACGTCCACCTTCCGGTTATTGACTTTTCTGTCACATTTGTGTCTGTTCTGCTCAGTTGACACAAGAAAAAGATACTGTTTGCTTCCGAATCTGATATTAGTTTCTTATTTTTGGTTTTCTCTTTTGTTATTACCGATTTCAACTTACTATGTCATCAATGGCATCTTTGACTGCTGTTATAGAAAGCACTACTATTAAGGCGAAACCTGTAGTAATCCATGAGAGAGAGGAGATTTGTGGGATCAACTGTCAACACACACACACACACAAAGATTAACACACTCTTTCAGTGCATAGATAATATCTTTTCTTCTTCTTCTGCCTAGCAGTTCATATCCCCCGATGCAGGGTCTGCTGTTTTTCATGCTTTCCTCCACTTCTTCCTATCCAGGGCATCTTTTGGTGTAACATTCGCAGCCTTCATATTGTCTTTGATTCGGTCCATCCAGCGTTTTTTTTTCTTCGTGGCCTAATTGCTGGGCTGTCTTTGCGATGGAGTTCTTATCGCTACGGGCAACATGGCTGTACCATCGGAGCCTCGCCTCTCGCATCTTGTCTGTGATCGGTGTCACTCCCCATCATTTCCTAACGTCTTTGTTCCTCGCTCGGTCTAGTCGTGTGAGACCCAGAGGCCATGTCAGCATCTTCATCTCCATGGTGTGAAGGGCTTGTTTGTGCTTGGTCGTAGCTGGCCAGCACTCTGACCCATAGAGTGCCACTGGGCGCACGATCGACTTATAAACTTTCGCCTTAAGATAGATTGGCATTCTCTTGTTGCACAAGACTTATCTGACCTGGCACCACTTCATCCACGCTGTGTTGACACAGAGTCTGGCGTCTGGTAGAGTTTCGCAGTCCGAGGTGACAAGGGACCCAAGGTACTTGAATTGGGCAACTGATAGTGATGGTACTGTTGGTCTGGGGGCCGCGTTCAAGGTACTCAGTCTTCTTGATGTTCAGGCACATGCCGTTTTCAGAGAGCCAATCTTTCCATGCTTGTGTTCAGGTTTGCAGGGCTAGGCAGTTTTTTGTTTCTGATAGACATACATCATCTGCATACAGTAGGCTCCATGGATGTGGTGATTGCAGACCAGCTGTCGCGGTGTCCATACAGAGGGTGAACAGCATAGATAATATCTTTTAAGATTCTTAAAAGTGAAAAACTTAACAGTTGCTTCATTTTATTTATGTATGTCATGTATGTTCACGCTTAATAACATTTGGAAAAAGCATTTTTTAAAAATCGATTTATAAAAAAGCAAAAGAAAGTGCAAGTCCTTTCACATTTTAAGTCAAATGAAGTTTGAAAAAGGTATGGTTGAATATAGAGAATGAACTCTGAATGCGGTTTTTGCATTGACATAACTATCTGCAGCATAAAATAACTATTTTTAAGCATGCAATTATTCTGACAAGAATGGCAACATGTCTACCTGAAGGATGAGCAGGAAGAGGAAGTAGGCATTAGCGAGCCTCTTGAACTGCTCAAAAAGATTAAAAGGCAGGAAGGTGAAGATGTTGTATTTGGAGGTCTTGATGGCATTGTTCTGAAGTTAAAGAAATCGACAGAGGAAAGTTACATGACTGATGTCAGTTTAACAAAAATCACTGTGATTTAATATT